TCCTTAAACAAGTTGACTAAACTATGACCTTAGAAATTTTAAAATTATGTGTATATTATTTTTGTCTCATCCTTTATATATCATAACAAAGCTGCACAGACCTTTAGCACTTCCGTAGACTTTCTAATTTTTTTCTATTTTGGAAAATATCTCCATTCCCATATTGTTTTAACATCTTTTACATTCTCATTTTCTTTTTTTAATAATTGTGAGACATAATAACAGTAACAAAATGAGTGTATTGTCTGCATCTGTGTCGTGCAGTGCCCATGGAGGTCAGAAGAGGGCATTGGATCCTCTGGAACTGGAGTTACGGATGGTTGTTAGCCACCGTGTGGGTGCTGGGAACAGAACCCAGGTCCTCTGCAGAAGCAGCCAGTGCTCTTGATTGCTGAGCCATCTCTGCAGCCCTCATATAAGCTTCTATTTGCAACAGATGGAGACTTACAAAATCCCACAACTGATCAAACAGAGAGTAAGTGTCTGTGAGGTGCCAAGCTCTAAGTGGCACATCTACAATGCAACCTGTACACGGAAGGCTCAGGGAGCATATGGGGAAGAAAGACTATCAAAGCATCTTCTAGCTCTCGCCAGTGAAGCTTCCTCATGCAACAGATAGTGATTAACATAGAAACCCACAACTGGCCAAAGTTCAGAGAATAAGAGGCTGCAGAGTTCTTATCTCTGAATAGGACACCAATTCAGTCCTCTGCCAACCAAGACTCAGTGGCCACTGCATAAGGGAGCGGAAAGATTGTAAGAGCTAAAGGTGGTGGATGACCACAAGGAAACATAGTTACAGATACCTGGGAAGTTATTCCTATGAATTTACAGCAAGTGTAATGGCATGAGCAAGACCCATGCAACCTCAAGCCAGACAAGATCTCAGCATACAGTGGGGAAGTGGGGAAGAAGCCCCAGCCTTAGCTAAGGAACTATATTGGCAACCAATAACTACTGGGAAAGCAAGAGTTAGTTTTCTCTAAGAATGTGAGACTGAATAAGTTAACTAGGCTTCAGTGGATGGATACACACTGAAGGACATTTGGACACGAACTTGGTTTGATAGGTCTAAACATATTTAACAGGTTTATGAAATATGGTCTGTGGCTGCTATAAGAGGCGTGCAGATAGGGGAAGGCATCTAAATATGATCAAATGTGTATAATGGGAGATATTATTACTGTAAAAATACATTGTAAATTGTAACCCTGAATGTTCATTTGCTGAGATAGTAGAAAGTGAATGTAATAGCCTTATTTTCAAAAATAGATAAGATGTATCTATGCAGTGTGTTCTAGGCAGTTTTCTCAGAAATAAAGTACCTGTTTGACATAAAAATTATAGGATAATCACTACATTCTTGTTCGTATCTGAACTATAATCTCTGTTTATTTGTTGAAACAAAGTCTTCTGTAGACCAGGCTGGCCAGGCTGCCTTCAGATTCACTCTGTAATCAAAGATGACCTTGAACTTCTGATCCTCCTGCCTCCACCTCTGCAGTATAGGTGTGAACCACTATGCCAGTTTTATAAATGCTTAAAAGTAGTTTTATTGCCACTCTTTGTCCCTGTGTACTGAATTTTCATTTTAGATTCACATTACCTTGAGAAGTCAGGGGATATTTATATCCTGGTTGAAATCGAATTCAAATAGGAATACACACTTTTAAAATCTAGTTCCATTTCATTTTAGCCATTGAATTTTAGTTTTTAATTTTGTTGTTTTACTTTTTAAAAAGCGTTCTAGCATCTGCAGTGTTATTCTGAGTACTTGCAGAGTGCGTGATCGGTGGCTTGGGAGGGACACGGCTTGGGAGGGACTGCCCTTGCTGGTTCTGTTCGCAGAAGCCTGCCCTTCTGCTCTCACAGAAACTGGGCTGCCCTTTCTTACAAGAGCCTCACGTGGACAGCAAAAACGCTTTTCATAAGAACACGGCTGTTCGAAGCAATACTTTCCAAGGTTGAGAAAGAAGTGTTGTTACTAAAGAACTTGGATGAGGTCATGTAGTTTTTAATCCTGCACAAGCAGCAGAGTGAGGAAATTCCAGAATTAATAGGTCTGCGGGTTCAGCTGTGCCCCGGGTTGAAGTGTTCAGGATGTTATTTCCATACTCCCAGCTGGACATTGTGCTCCACATTTGATTGGAGGCTTTTAATTGTCCCCCTCTTCTTCCAAGCTACTAAAATTTTTATAACTGGGTCTATTTAGAAAATGTGAAATTGTAAATGGATTCAAAATATGGCCATTTTGGCTGACATATTTTATTTGCCAAGTCCTTCACATGCTGATTTCAGAAAGAACATACTAACTTCGAGAAATGATTAGAGGGAGTAGGGAATTGAAAGCCAAGGATAGTATTTGGATTGATCACATACTTATTAATCAGTTGTAATTATTGTTTAAGGACAGGTGACCTACTGATCAGCCCTACCACTGAGGTACAAAGAAACGGACTTAAATAAAACAGGAGGTGCTGTTTCATAACACTGAATTCTGTTGAACAATGTGATGGAAATTGGAAGTTTCCTCGAAACTTTTTCGTTTGAAAGAATGGTCTTGGTAGGTTGCTACAATAGACGGTTTCTTTCAGTGTTTGCTTACGATGTCAGAGTCCTTTCCCTACTCTCATTCTTCCTTCTTTTTCCTTAGGAATGAGAGGAAGATCACGCAGATCTAAAGGAAGCACAGCGTGCCGGGCAGAAATGAACACGGTTAGTCCAAGTGAACCTTTGTGCTTCTCCTATTTCAAACTTAATACGCATATTGTTTGGCTTAATAGTTCAACTTGCAGCCATCTGAAAGTTCAGCCTTTATAGTTACGAATGCCTGCGTGTCAATGAACACAAAATTACTGAGATCATCACCACTATATTTGACCAAAATTAGATAATGGAAAATTTTAAAAAAATCATTTGTCTAAATATAATGAAATAAAATTATTACTTGTCTAAAAACCTTATTTGTCTAAATATAATGAAACAATAAAGGTAAATATTATTTGCTTAACTCTAATAAAACATGGTTCTTTGTCTAAATATAATAAAAGTATTTTAAGTTTGAATTTTTTTCTGAAAACTGTTATAAGCATGTGTCCTTAGAATGTACATATTAGGGGCTGGAGAGACGGCTCAGTGGTTAAGAGTACTGACTGCTCTTGCAGAGGACCCAGGTTCAATTCCTAGCACCCCGCATGGCAGTTAACAACTGTCCATACTCCAATTCTGATGCCCTCTTCTGACCTCTGTGAGCATTGCATGACATGGGTGCGCTTCCATGCATGTGGGCAATAATACACTCATACACATAAAATAAAAATTAGAAAAAGTAAAATGTTTTTTTTTTTTTAAAAAAAGCACGTTTTAGAGCAAAGTCACCAAGTCCTGCCTGTGAGAGTGAAAGTCACTTCAACTCATGCCAGTTCTCTGAGGCTGTTTCTTTTATAAAGTTGAGATCATTTATAATCCCTGCCTTACAGAATAATTGTTAAGGTATATAATTGCCTTGTGAATCAGTGTTCAAAATGCCTAATGTTTATTAGAGTTTATCAACAAGTGCTATTTTTATTTCTTTGTTTTTTTATCTTGATATTATTTCTTGTTTCCCCATATTCCATGTATTCAAAGTCTGTGGGGGGAAATACCACAGTTTTTATGCACTTCTAAAAAGACTATTCTATTTCTTCTGACTCTGAAAGACTTAGCTGTTTTTCAGGTCAATGAAAAACCTTTCAAAATTCCTTTTGAATTCTAAACTGCATAGCAACCAGAGTGAAATTTTGGCATTTCAGCTGAGCAAAAGCTAATAGACATTTTTAGGAAAGAAATGCAGAAGTGAACAGAGGGCTCTTTCTTTGTTTCCTACGCAATCTGAAGAAGTCACCTAAGAGTCTCCTCTTTGAAAGACTTTTATGATATTGGGGAGCAATGTTCTATAACTGACATATTTAATTTCATTGCTGGGCTCCTTAAACAAAGTGGCAATGATCATATAATTTAACAATTTGGGCATAAGTGAAATACTGCAATAAAAGTTCAATTTCATTAAAAGTATCTACTTGCTATAAATCCCTACCACAGAACTTTTTTTTTATTCTTTCTTTTCTCTCTTCTTGGGTGACTCTGCTGCTTCGGCCTAGGATGACAGGTGTGAGCAACCACACCAAGTAGTCTGCCCAGAATCAGTGGTTGTGATCATTATTCGGTATAGATTATTACCATTGTTATTATAAGAGTTGCAGTACTCAGGCTTGACCCCAGGGCCTCGTGTACGTTAAACAAGTATTCTACCATTGATCTGTATCCCCAGCCTTCACAGACCTTTTAAATTAATTAAAATAGGAGGAATTGATGTTTATAAATTCTGTATTGCATACTGTCTCACTCATATTTTAAGATATGTCTTTAACTTACATTTTTTTTTTAACAAGCATCTTCAGTTATTTTGTGATAGGTACACTTTACATTGCTTTCAGAACCTTTGTGCTCTTCTACTCTTTGGTTGTACTTTATAGTATGTAATTCCCTAGTACTCAATTTGGATTTTACTAGATATTAGGAAAGAAAGCTGCAAATTCAGATTTTATACACTTGCTCATACGTTTGTTTATTTATCGTTGTGGCTCTTCTAAAATGTATAAAGTTAAACTTAATACACTGCATTAAGATTTGAGGAATCTGAATTATAAGTACACATTAGTCATTAAAACTGTAGTAGTATTAGATCTCTTCCTTCTATCACCATCTCTCAGTCTTCTGAATACTAAACAGCTCAGTCAAACTAAAAAATATCAATAATTAGCCAGGTGTGGTGGCATATGCCTTTAATCCCAGCTTTTGGGATGCAGAGGCAGATGGATCTCTGTGAGTTCAAGGCCAGCCTGGCCTACTTAGTGAGTTCCAGGCCAGCTGGAGCTACAGGGAGACCTTGTCTCAAAAAGACGAAAAAAAAAAAAAGTTTAAAACATTTCAAAAAGACATAGAAGTTTATAATTGTACTAATGGGTAATGAGAAGACATTATCCAGACATTCTGTTTTACCATGGTCTCCAGACAGGAAGTACTCAGCCCTCTTCTCCAGCAATAACATCTGTAAACCACCACAGAACTTTCATGCCTCAAATAAAACTCTGCTGAGCCTACATATCTTAATCTGTGTTTTGACTCTGGATTCTACTTAAAGTTTCTGAAATAACTCATATTAAATGAAACAAAACTTTTGTCAGTCAATGTCCATCTGAGCCTTCCCAATGAATAGGTTATATTGTTACAAAGTATGTGAAAATAAAGTTATGAATGAACACAAGTGAGTTAAAGGTTTTTCAAAATAAGAATTTAATTGTGCATTAGTATTTGAGCTGAGATTCAAGTTAAATGCCACAAAATGAAAGTCACTTAATTGCTATTAAATTATTATACTATTGAACAACTTAGTGGCTTTGCCAATAGGTAGAATAAGAGCAACTTTCTATTCAGAGCTTTCTGCGGCCTGTCCACCGTTCTTCTTATAGGTCGTCTGACTCCGGCACAGTGGTGTCCTCTGCAGGTTCAGTTGTTATCACTACAGGAATATTCTCAGATATCCATCCCTTTGGAGTCCTGTTAAAGGACCGTCTGCCTGAAAGAGGGTTGGCAAAGGCCATGAACCTGGGGTCTGTTAGCAGGAGTAGCTCAAAATCTGGAACTTTGAATTTAACCATTTTTGATGCTTTTTCAAAACCTCCGAATGGAGTGGCAACTCTATAGGAATCAAAGAGAAAAGCAAGTAATAGTTAATATTCAATTTTATTTGTCAGAAAATACAAACAGTTTCATTCACAATTTTATAGTGTTTATTATTGTCTTCTATTGATATTTTTCAGATTGGGGCTTTTGAATCAAGCATTTTTATGGAAGGTCAGTGCCTTGATGGAAAAACAGGTATCTGACAAGTTACTGTAAAGCTTCTTTGTATGTACTCTTATTT